TTCCAGCACAAGCATCTTATGCCTCAGGAAATTTAGCAAGAGTGGGATAAGGACAGGTTTTCATGGACAGGGCCTCAGTGCTCTCCAGCCTCATTTATCTTGTCCCCACATGCTGCTGGTGCTGACATCCAGAGATGTCCAGAAGGAGCTGGCGCACTGCTGCACTGCCTGTCAGGGGGCTGCCTCTAAGCTTCCCAAAAAATGTCTTGACTGCAGCAAGGGAATGAGGTGAATATACAAGAAATGTACTATTTCTCCCGAACTGCATCAAGTTAATGATATTTTCCTCCCCCCTTGCACCTCTGTAAATCAGCGCGTGACTGTGGGACTCAACAATGTTTCACTGATGTAGAACCACTCTTGGGAGGGAACTGGTTGGTGTAAATCCTCCCTTTCTATTTCCTTGTACATAATCTGGTGCCAAGTTCTGTCAAAAACATGGAGAAAACTTTCACTAGATTTTTCCAATGGCAATAGTCTGTCTAAACACAACTTTAAATGTCTGCCATTAAAGTTTTCTTCATCTCATTAAAGCAACTTGCAAAACCATCTGCTAGCTAATGAAGAGTTTTTAAAGCTTTAATATTTTATTTTAGAATGAAATATACAAAGGGGAAAACAGGACAGGTATTTAGAAAGACAATGACAACAATCTGCTGTTCTTCCACAGAAAGCTGATGATGTTCACTCCCATGGCTAATTAAAGTGACTGAACACTTCAGCCCCTTGAATATTCCTTGTACAAATAATGCAATTCCTATTCTCAGGATATTTGCCTAACACACAGCAACTGAAAGCAGCATTTCCAGGAACTATTTCTCAGCATCCTTCTCTTCCAAAAATACCAGTGACTGGTACATTACAGAGAAGGGCAGACAACATTTTTGCTCAGGGTCTGCATGCGCTTGCCAAAATCTCTTGGTGGTTCTAGATTCCCTCAGCCCTCATTCACTTCCCTGAGTTACTCAGAAATTGAACAAGGGATGAGAAATCATGGTGAGATCATCAAGGACAGTGATCAGCCAGGCTCAGAGCAAAGTGAAACCCCAAGGGACAGCACTGCTCTTTCCAGGAAAAGGAGATGTTGCCATTACAGCCCAGTGCCTTTTCCTGTGGAGTTGCAGAGCTGGGCAGGATCTGGCTGTGATCACCAGCAGGAGGAGAACAAACTGGATTCATGCCCCTGTGAGCAATTAATGGCATGCAATAAGGGAAGTCATGGGGAGACATCTGGGATGGCTCCACCACCCCCCTCAGCAGTATTAAGGAATTATTAAACCCGTCTCAGAGCTGAAATGAGGAGCAATTTCAGGTCACAGCTTACCAGACCAGGCCTCCTCCACTTGCTGCTCGCTTCTTCACCTCTGACACCTGGACCAAGTGACACTTTCACACTTCAGGTTCCACCATCATTCTCTGTTTGTGCTGCTTTCCCCTGCTTTTTGTCTCATTTAACATCTCTGCTCCTCAGTTGTGATTGCTTACTCCTGCTGAGCACTGAGGACTCTGCTCAGAAGGAAAGCTGCAATCCTAAGCACAGTCCTTGCAAAATATGGCAATAGAGGGAGTAACTTAAAAAAACACATACATCCCACCCCAAAACCCCCCAGAGCACTTTCTTGGATAGCAAGCCACACTATGGCCCTATCAACCTAAGATATAATCAAGAATTTAATGACCACTAAGCCTGACTGTGAAAGTAGGCTTGAAATTAACTAGCAGAGCCACAGCCTGCCTTCCAAAGCTCTGCTAAGTCCTGTAATGGCTGTGTCTTCATCCTGCCCACTGCTGGTCTTTACTTGAGGTGTCACAGATGGCTTTAATTGCTTATCTCCTTCTGAGCTTCATACCTGCTGTGGCAGATTAACAGATGGGACTGATCAGTGGGCTGAATGCAGCCCTTGGGACCCCTAAACTGCCTCTCTGCACAGTGATTAGTGCAATGGCTTCTCCCCACTCAGACAAAATTTGTAATCTTCTAACTGATGTACTGTCACATCCCACCTTTGGTGCAGCCCCCTTCACTCTGTGCCACATCCACAGGCAGTGACAATACCTGGGGGCTGTGCTGGGCAGCTTTACAGGGCTGGCACTACCCCTGCTGACAGAGACCTTCTGCCCACCAAGAGGCCAGGGGACATCACAAAGTCCACACTTGCACGTGTGCCAAGAGCACTGGCCAAAAGTGTTTCAGATGGCATCTTATTCATGCAGTGCAGCCAGCAACTCTGAACCAACATAAATTATACTGGGAAGATGAACAAGATGAAAGATCATCCATCTCACCACAGGCAGAAAATACACTCAGACTCTTCCTCGTGGTGCCTGATGGCCCAGAAAGAAAACAATGATTGACATTGTGCTGATTTGGTGTTGGAGACCTCAGAGCTTATGGTAGGTCCCACTGATTTAATGCACCATGCAGCAGTAACTAACAATTTCTCAGAGGCCTTACATAACAGTTTGCTTGAAAGCAGTGAGTAGAGTTTTGAAAACATTTGCTTCAGCTGTATTTTATGCCATGCCAAGCCATGAATCTTACCTGAATGTGCTGGTGTGTGTTGGACTCTCCTCTCTTGAGCTCCCAGAGCCTGGGCAGGAATCACAGCCAATACAAGGATTAATCTGTTTCCCAGACACAATGCTGTGATGAAGAACTGTTATTCAATTCCAACACATCCACCTCAGAGTAAGGCTGTGACCACCCAGAAAGTTCTGACAACCTCAGCCATCCCCATTTATATTAAAAGCAGCAGAACAGATAACTCCTCTTTGCTGTTTAATTAGGCAAGGCTTGACAGAGTAAGAATGGGACTTAGCACAGTCTCTGGTTTTACTCCAGGACTGGTTTTACCCACAGTACTCTGGTTTTACCCCAGAGCACTTCTATCCCTTCCTTCAACCACCTTCTACTGCTACCAGCTCTAGAGACTGTTGGTAACAGCACAGACCCTTGAGTGATGTACCCAGCAAAGCTCTTCCTGCCTCCTGCTCACTGCTTATTGCACAGTCCAGTGCACATCATTACAAAGAACATTCCCTCATCTTTCTGGTTTTAAAGCAGCTTTTCTTCTTAACATCAAACTACAACCCCTAAACTCACTCTAAATAATTTTTTTTTTTTTTTTTACTCAAGAAACAATGATAGCTCATCATCTCTTCTTCCTCATCTGGCTTGGTGTCCTACCACTTTCAATACTCTCCAGTGGCCTGCTCAGGCTATAAATGATGAATATCATGCAGGATATACCATAAAACAGAAGAGTCTGGAACTCTTGTGTGGAAAAGGGACAACACTGCCTCACCTCTGCTGCTGCCAAGATGCAGCTTTTGCCCCTCTTAGTCTCTGTGTACTTATCCCTTTTACTTTTCCCACAGAAGAGCACTGAGAAAAAAAATTACCTGGAAATCAGAGTGCTGGTGTTGTTTCTTTTTATTGCTCTGTTCAAATTCCTTTAATTTGCTGTATTTTTCTGCTTTTAAAGAATTGAGAAACTTTACTAGGAGCACTGAGAGCAGTGAGAAAGCATTCTTGCTGCAATCTGGCAATAGAAATGGATAACACAGTGACTGCCATCCCAGTACTGTGTGACTTACTGCCCTCCCACACAATAACAAATCTACAGCTAAGGCTAAAAGTTGTTAAATCCTGTGCTCCTGGAGTCCCACAGCAATAAGGGAATTTTATTTTGCATTTTTATGAACTGTATGTGCCTCCCTAATTTCCATGAGAATGCACAACAGGTCCTGTAAGAAAAAAAATAATTACAATGAAGCAACTCACCAAGTAAATTTGTTATGCCCTAAGTCCTGAATTCTCACTGAGCCTCCTTTCTCAAGTACTTAACTCCTTTTGTTAAACAACCACCACTCACCAAGATCACTGCCAGGTATCAGGGTGGGCAAAAACCCACCTGAATAATGTGCTGTAACTCTTCCTATAGACAAGACAGGAGTAGAAAACTGCAACAGCCTCTTCTGTATTACAAAACACGAACATAAGAACAAATGTGCTATGACCTACTGGTGACAAATGAAGGTAATATAAAGCCTTGTAAGATTTCAGCTTTATTAGCATTATTTAACTTCTGAGACCATTAAAGGAGGCATATTTGATGAATGCAGCTGTGGGGACAGAATGGTTTTCGTTATGAAAGCCTGGTGTGGCACAGAAGAGAAAAATTAGAGGACAAAGCCAAGAGCTGTACAGCCTGGGAAGAGCAGAAAAGATGAGGCCAAGGCAGTCAGTACTTTTTCACAGCTCAGATGTTAGCAGGGAGAGGGCATCCGTGACGGACACTGCTGGAGAAGTTCCCAACTCCCACTGGAAATGGCTGGAACAGTTGAAGAGAAATTCAGATAAAAACATCCCAATGTCAATGAGAGCAAAAGTGTGCCTTGATCACACTATGGGAACGCAGTGAAATGCTGGAATGACACATTCTGCCTTATCAAATCCACTGTTAATCATCCTTTTATAGGCTAAAACTTTGCAGGAGACACTCCTGAGGATCCAGTAGTACCTCTTTTTCCAGCAAAAAATAAAAGGATCAAACATCCATCTGCACAAAGGGCAGATGTGGATTTTTGTCTCCAAACTGTGACAGCCAGATGTTGCTAAAAGAACATGATTTTTAACTCAGCACACACCTTATTTATCAAGATACAACTTTCAGAAACAAGCACTGGAACAGTTCCACTAAATACACACACCATATATTGTTCCCACAGTCAGTTAATTATACAGCTTAGTGGAAAAGCCTCGTTAATGTTATGTACTTTACAGAAAGTATCTACATCTATCAGTGGAGCAGTATATTGTAAAAAACACTTGCCTGATTGCTGTGTCTTCCCTTTTAGAGACAAAAGAAAGCTCTAAATGACAAATTTTGGCCACGACCAACCAATCACACAGCAATCAAAACTGAACATTTTTAAGAACTAAGACAGGAAAATCAGAAATCATCAGGAGAGCATCATAGTAACAGATGGGCTACGTAAAGGTTTTATTTTTTATTTACAGCAAATATATTACAATAAAAAAGGTTAACATGACTCGTGGTTGTGGAAGGATGGTACATATGCATACATCAAAAAGGTTTCATTTTCTTGGCACTAACTGAACCGAATACGAGGATTCAACACAAAAATAAGAAACAGAACATTTATTAGGCAAACTCTAACTGTACACATCTGCAACTGGGGTTTCAATGCAATCTGAAGAACACAAACAAGTCATCAGGATGGCAAGGACTTTTTTGATGAACATGTTTAACCCTCAAGACAAGATTGTCTGGCACCATTTAAAAGTTGCTGTACTGAACACACTGATTTTAAAGAAATGTCACAGATGATTAAGACACTGAAAATGCACTCAGCACAGTGAAGAAGCCCATTATTTTCCTTATTTTTTTTTTCACTCCCACAGTACCAGAGTGTTAAAAGGCTGCATGGCAGAGAAGCTGGATGCAACAGCTGGAGAATTTTTCCTGTCAAGCAAAGTGACTTGCAGGAAGAGATGTGCTTTCTGCAACAAACCCAATGATACACAGCTTGTGTGGCTTCAAGGAAGATGATCTAAGAATAACAAATGTTGAAGCCTTATAAGCTCTTTACATCATAATCAGAATCCTGAGAAAAGCAGGATCCAAATTACTCCAAGTGAATTTGGGCTTACTTATACACAACAAAATTGTCCAGATATACCAACAGTAGTAAACAGAGTTAATGCAGTGCTAATCTTTTTACATTTTAATGACTAGCTATAAAAACAGAAACTAGCATGTTCAAATCTGTTTACATTTCCTGAGCTTTGTTAAATGAAGAAGGAATGAACGTTACAAAAATCCCGGTAAGCCACCAATAAATTAAAAATGTACATAACACCACTATAGCTTAAGAAGCTCAGAGTGAAGTCTGCCTAGCCAATATTCTTTCTTTAGGAATCCAGTACAGAAACCATGCCATTAACTTCACCAGCAATACTGAGATGCTATGGAATTGTAGGTCTTTTATTTTTTTTCTTTTGCTCTTCCAGCAGATTGCCTGATGGCCTTTCCTAATCAAATCATATGAGAGCATTCAAAAACTGCAGCCCTCTACTTGCAGTGCACAAAACAATGTTCTCAGCCACACAATGTACTACTGAAATTCAAATTTCCTAGCTGCAGTTATTTGGGTGGGCTCTCAGCTCTCACACACAACACCACCACCCTGGCAGCAGGTTTGGTATCCTTTGGGGGAACAAAGCAGGAGACTGGAGGAAAGACCCTCAGCAAAATCCATCTTAGCCCATCTTTGCAGTTTCTTTAAGAGCCAACATCTTGCATTTGAGAAAAGCACTCGACCTACATGAGTCATACACATGTTTATTTATGCATGTTTATTTCCTGCATAGAGAATACTGTGTACCTTGGAATAAAACCCAAGCCTTGAGAATATACTGAGAGTATATTTGTAGCAGTGCTATGGAAGATTAATTTAAACCCAAACAATCAAACTCAACGGTCTCAAAGACTTGCAGAGCACAAACTTTGATAAAACAAACCACTTTTTAGAAAACTGTCTGCTTATAGCATACTTCTATTTTATGGTGTAGATAAAAGAGAGGTAGAAAGGTTTATCTCCTCAGTATCAGTTTCTGTGCAGTATTTATAAAATGTCAGAAAAAAAATCTATAGCTTTTCAGTGAAAATGCCAGCTTTTCTCCTAAGAATTATAAGGAATCTCTTCTTTCCACTTAAGTGCTGTAAACTAAGTAACTGGAATCTGGTTCAGAAGAGCTATTCTTTCCAGTAGCCTTACCACACCAATTGCTTCTAAGAAGTCATTACAGAAATGCTCCTATACAGGGCTCAAAAATTCCTCACAGATACAACCCACCAAGCCATATTTACCAGCCAAATAGTATCAAGTCTGCTCCTAAAAAAAGCACTCACTCTTGCTCGACTTGCATGATCCATCTTATGCAAGCTACCAAGAGGGACAGAGAAGAATGGAAGTATGGAAGGCTGTGTGGCCCTTCCCCTCTTTGGTGATGACCTCAGATGTGAGCACCATTATCACCTCGTCTGGCAGAGCATCCTGAAGCAGCTTCTCTTCCTGCCATGATCCAATCTCTGTAGCAGGAGGATGGATGGTGCTTTAGAAACCAGCACTCCTCAAGAAAGGGAGGAAGGCAGACCCGACCAGGAGACACAGCTGAACAGAAACTGCGCTGTTAAGATAAATATCCATCTTTCCCTGGTGTTAAGAGAAGCCTGAAGCACTACAGTTTTCATGATTGTCACCAGATAAGGGAGAGAGATGGAAACATCAGCTGCAGACATCAAGAGTGTGATCCAGAGTGCAGTGCATTTCCCACGGAGCCCAGAGCCTCGGGCCCAGCAGTGCCAGGGGAAGGCAGGTCAGAGGCACCCGGGTGGGATCTGCCCACAGGGCTCCACTCCTGACCCCTGCTCTCATGGCACTGCCAGAACTGATCTATCTGTGACAGAGGACCTGCCTGCTGACATTTCGGGGCACACAGGACTGGAGCTCCAGCTTTATTCACATAGCAACGACTGTTCAAGGATGGGATTTGAGCCATGAAAGTCAGGCTGCTGCATGGTGACCTTTAATTTACCCAGTGAATGCTAAGCAAATTACATTAAATTAAATTCAGTCAAAGCAGATGCTAGCTTATTTATTAAAAAGCTCAGCTTTCTCTTTCTTTCAACTGGTTTTAGAGACCAGCAGCTCTTGGGAGCAGACCTTCACTCTAACTAAGTCAGGCAAGAGCAGCTCCACAGAGATGGCCAGAGTAACTCTCCTGCAGCAACACCAGGCTAAAGTAGACCTGGCATTCCCTAAGGATGCCCAGCAACAGCTCATGAGTACAGCATCTTTGCCTCCTTGCTCCCTGCACTTCCTACCCAACCCAGGTGTTCTCCCTCCTTCCACAAAAACCACACTGGACTCACAGTGGAAGACAATTCTTCATTGCCTTCTACTGTCAGATATTTTAAGAAATCTATGAATTTACTAATATAAAGAAGTATTTACTCTGTTTCAGAAAACCAGTACTGCTCTGCAAATATATAACTTGTCATTAACTTTTGACAGGTTGGGTAAGGAAACTCATATACAGTAACATGGTCACAGTCACAATCCAGGTTGGAAACATTTCCTTCTGTCAGCTGTAGCATGATGAGACTGACTAATGTTCCTGTACTCAAATAATCAACAGGCCCTGTCCTTCAACCTGCTCCCTTTCACCAGTATGCCTAAAAGCAGTCACATAAATAAGAGATGTGCTGCTTTCAGGCACACAGACTTCATGCACAGTCTGTTTTGTCTCTTTTCTTTGTTCTCTGGAAAAATTACTCTCATTAATTTAATTCTCCAACTATGATCCACCAAAATAAAAATAAATTCAAGTAGCAATCCAAACTGGTTATTGCTGGGTTATGGGTCAATGTAAACTGACCAGACCCAATGCCAACCTTGAATTCACTTTACAAAAGTAAGGATTGTTCGATTACATTTGCTGACCATAGACAGCTTCTTTCACTATTCATACAGCTTGAAGACCGAAGATTTGCTGAGAACAAGACACAGTCCATGTCCCCTGGAAGTAAATGGAGCTAATAGCCATCATCTTCATCCATATCACAGCCATAATCTGAAACACACAAAGACAAGGGCATATAAAAATGCAAATATTCCGGGTAGGTGGAAGACAGAAGCACTTCTTCTTTAAGGTTGTTTTCTTGCTATGTAACTACAGGATAAGTTTTGCCTTAGGCAAGCATTTAAAAAATAATCTATTTTCTTAGGCCTAAGTAAGTTCTTGCATGTACTTCCCTCACTGAAATAAAATTATTTTTAAGCATGTATGTGTAAATATCTCTTCTCACTTGTCACTAGACCCTCATTTAGGAATACTTGGCACATGTATATGTGAAATACTTGCTTTAATTTAGAGGCTAAGGTGATCAAGCCTGATTGTCACAAGTGACTTGGCACACAGTGGCTGATAAGCAGCAGCAGCATTACATTTACAAGTAGGCACGTTTTTCACTAGATATAGGCACCAAGGAAAAAGCTGGTTTGTTTATATTACTCATGGATTTATGAGCTGAAATTGCAAGGGTTCAGAGATAGCTCAGAGTTCCCATCAACATCAAAAGAGTCATGGAATGAATCCTGACCAATGCATCTGACTCAGATCTCCCTTATCTACTTACTTCTAGACTTAAAATTTTTGCCCAGATTTTTTTAATCCAGTTTTGTTTCCTTAAACAATGCTGAGTGCAAAGACTGTGTGCTGTGTGTCAGAAGGCAAGTCTGTATGTTTCTAATGCACCAATGTCTCTTCTATGTGCTTCTGAATGCACTGACACAGATATTTTCTGCTGTGCAGATGAACCTATGGATAATTATTGCGTTTGAGCACTGAGGAAAGTTAAACTTCATATTCCAAATCCAACAAAGGGCAACATCTCACCCAAAGAGACAAGCAAATGCTCAGAAGCAGAATTAAGTGTAATCGATAATGATTTGTGTAGAATGGGTGAAGTTCACCATCTGTAATTCATGCAGTTATTCCAGGCAGACAAGTCTAAAATCCACAGAGAAAGCAGATAGGAAAGAGTTATTTGCTGTGCTGAGCAGCTCTGTACACCTGCACTCGAATTCTGGGAATACTACTTTCCTTTTCCTTTTTATTTTTATTTTTTAACTCTAATTTTTCAGCTGTTGTCCAGACCAGACAGGGAGTAGTGGAATGTTCTCAGAATGGTTCAAAATTAGTAACATTTACAAAGAAAAAAAACTCAGTGACCTTTATTCTATTTTTGTGGGGGGTTTATTAATAAACATAGACCCACCCTCCCCCACATGGATGCCTTTTCTTGGGAACGTTATTCTAATAATAAATGCAGGCAACAAACTGTTTTTCCTACAGTTCAGCAATTATTTTCCAGCAGAGAAATCAATTTAAAAGCAACAGACACTTTTGTGAAATGTACACATATTGTCCATGAAAGCTAAATGAATAGTGATGGAAAGATTTTTGCAGTAAATAACATTTCAGTGGGAAACTTATTCCCATCTTGAGTCTTCGCAACCCATAATTAGCAGCTCCCATTTTAAAAATAATTTTGTGTATTTTCAAAGCTTAACTTCTAAAGGGAAGTTTTTAATAAAGGATAAATGTGGATGTGTCCAGCTAGGAAAAACCACAGTGGAGAGGAGACTGCCTTTTCCTGCCAGCAAAGAAATCTAATTAAACCAGTGGCTTTGCTGGGTAACCCAAAGAAATTAGCACACATCTGTGTACCACACACGCACCACCAATGCCATTCCTGCACTTGGGGAACTCCTGCTTCCTCCTAACACCTTCCCCAGAAGCAGACTGTGATGATTTGTTGTGTTTTGAGCTGGACAGACACATCCCCAGGGCTCATGGACAACCTGGACACCACCGCAGCCTCCACTGAGGAGGCACAAGGAGAAGGAGAGGAGGCTCAGGGCACCCCAGGCACTGCTAATGGAGGGGTTACTGACCCCTAACTCCTCAGATCCACCTTAATAAACCCAATGCTGGAAAACACCTCACACTTCAGTTTGTTCTTGAGAAGCCCTCTTAGCCTAAAGCTGGAGATGCCAAGTTTTCTCAGGAGGAGTCTCCAAGGTCAGGTTTCAGACAAGGGTAATTCCAGGCTTCCCACAGGAAGGGGCAATGCTGAAAAGGCAGCAGGAGCTCTGGGACAAGCAGGGGTACCCTGTGTGTCCCCACCCCTGCAAGAAGAAAGCCCACAGCACCAGAGATGGTAACCCCAGCTCACCATTTCCTCCCATTAACTGCAAGGCGCTCATGCAGTGATCTTCATCTTCTTCTACCTCTTCCTCTTCCACCTCTTCATCAGGGTTGTAAGCTACTGGGCCACTCTCCACAAGCACAGCTGCTGGTTTTTCTACATCAGAAGCTTCAGCCTGTGCATTTGGAAAGGTAACCTGCATAAAAGAAGAGAGAACAGTAGAGGAGCTCTTCCTTTGGTCCAATATTTGTAGAGAACTTTAGCAGCATCCAAACAGTAAGGACAGGAGAGATGGAAGCTCACGTCCAGTGCTCTAAGTTCAGCTGTTCTAATGGGAGTCTGAATGAAAGTCAGGCAAAACCACCCAGTTTTCACTTAGCCCAGAACCAGGCAACTGAAATATCCTGTACTGGTCACAGCAGAACAAGGATTCTCTGGCAAGCACAAGGGCAGGAGAAATTTGGAAGCGAAGTCTCTTCAGTAGAGCACTGTGGGAAAACTTACAAACCTCTCCCACGGTGAGCTCAACTCACATCAGGCCTATTACAAAATAACAACGTTATTGACAATTTAATGATAGCAAAAATGTACCCTTCAGATCAGAAAAAGCCCAACATGTATTAGTTTTGACAGCTCTGGTTGGATTTATTTGGCGGCGCAATGAGCTGTGGAACAAATAGCACTCTGCAGACAGCACTTAATGTGATGGCAGAGCACTCAGTTGATAATACACACTGGCACCTGTACCATTACCTGTGGAATTCAGCAGAATACTGATCTCCAAACACTAACTTGGGAATCAATCATGGATGGGACCTGTTCCGTACGTGGTCCTCCCCAGCTGCTCCAAGGTTAGGCAGGACACAGCATGGAGGGAGAGAAACAGCAACACCACAAGGGAACAGAGGTGAATTTGGAGTAGGTAGTGCTGTCTTTGGTTCACTAAGGAGAGATCTGGGAACAGAGCAGGAAGCTGCAACAGCCTGTGCCAGCACAGCCCAGGCTCTGCTCTTTCTTCTCATTTTCATGGCGTGCTCAGTCCAGAGCTCACCTCCTTCTCTCATCCAGGGAAGAAACATCACAGGAGCTTTACCTGCATCAGCTCTGAAACAGGGTTTTTTCCACAGTCATTCTGTACTTGGACTGTTGGGGGTTCATACATCAGAGCCCATGGCACACAAAACCAGCCAGTTAATAGCAATTGGAAGAACCTTAAAGATTAACCGTGAATGCTGGGTTGTCATGTAAAGAATTCTGAGAAGGGAATATTGACAGTACCTGCCACCAGTTAGCTGTTACCAGCACCAAGTCATCTTCCCTAGTAAGAAAGATGGAAAAGACTGGGACCACTTCCTTGGAAGGACCAGTGGTGAAGTGCTTCTAAAAATGAATGGTCCAAAGGAGACCAAAAACCCCAACTCCTCTGGTCCATACCATGAGAAAAGTGCCACAGTGCTCTAGGTTTTAAATTACAGTACACAACCATGTACTGCTACATGTTCTCCAATTCCATAGGCAGCAAGCTCTGATAAAATGCTGCAGTTTATTTTTATTTTTATTTATTTATTTATAAATGTATTTACTTGGGATGCAGTATCTCCCAGGATCCCTGCAACTCCAGGCACTTCAGAGATACACCATAAGAGAAAAACCCTGCACCAGAAAGTTGACAGTCTAATTATTCAAACATCAAAGCTTTTCCTGAACTTGTCATATACCATAACAGTCAACCTAAAGAATCTGCCTGAGTTTTTCAAAGTCATCTCAGGGTTTGCTCCAACAGCTCATTAATAGGGCAAAATACACCCATTAATTTCAATAGAAAATCAAGTATTTAGATATTAGGATCAGTCAAAGACAGGTTTTCATTATTTTTTAATGCTCAAATTAATCATATTATTTAGAGGAACTTCCCTCCAGTTTATATTTCCTACCACTGCTTTTGCCTCCAGAGTGATCAAATTGAGTCCATCTTGGTATAAGCAGAAATAGACACAAGAGTTTGAAACAAATCAGCATCATAATACACATCGATTTATATGTTTAAAAGTATCCATCTGCTCTGAAAAAGTGGGTGAATATAAAGGAGCTACAAGTCATTATTTTTTAAAATTGCACCATGCTAATTAAAATGTGACCTTCTTCTAATTATCATGTCCACTTCCAGACTGCTGTACTTCTAAAAATGTGCAGAGTTTTCTAATGAGCACAGAATAAGAAGTGAAAATGTATTTCCCTAGGCAGGATATCAAACTGTTTCTGAAAATCAATGACTTTTAGTCATGTTAAAAATAAGGCAGTCAAACAACACCTTTAAATAGAACTTCCTGAATTCACTTCCAGACATCCTGGACTGGAGTTTGGCACTTAGCCTGATGTATGGATGGGCAATTGTCAAAGGTGTTAAACTACCCAAGGGAACTGGTTCACTTTCAGAAGGATGTCAGTCTCACACGTTCACGGGCAAGAGGGACAAACACCTTTGGTATACTGAATTTTTAGATATGCAGTAGACAGTTTGTTGTATAGAAAATGCCTGTGAACACTCTGTACAGTGTGAAATTAATAGTGAAAGAAAGCAGCTATCCTTGTTATCTGGTTTCACTGAAAATAATAATGATGTGACAATAATCATGATCCCTTTGGGAGGTGCACAAAGCCACCCAAGGAGGGCTTCTGGCAGTGGCCAGTTACCATAGCACTATTACATTTTCAAACTAGACAAAGCAAAGAGTATACAAAGAGTATAACAGAACAAAGCCAGGCTGTATAGGGTAAGCTCTCTCCACACCAGTCTCTGACAGAAGCCCAGCCTATCCCTGGAGTCAGCTCTGGCTCCACAAAAGTGGAGTTTGCAAAGTCCTTCTTCTCTGTGAGGACAGTCCAAGTGCTGAGAAACAGGCATGAGCTCTGCCTGCTCCTACTCCCCCTGACCATTTATTTGACATGGCCCTTTTTAGATGCTTTCAGGGAGTTTTCTCTTTTTTTGCTGTCCTATGAAGCATCATGAGGCAGCGCTAATGTTCCTGATGGATAAGTAAGGCAAGTCTGGGTTAGAAAACAGCCGATCTCAGCTTTGCAGTGTTCACAGTCACCAATCCCTGGCCTGATCAGACAAACAAGACTCATTTCTTTTACCCTTATCTATCACATGACCAGAGCCAGGCTGAAAATAGCTTGTGGGAATTTCCAAACTCAACCTGTTGCACCAGGAGAAGTGCTGGACTTTTCATACCTCTTCAGTGGCAGCCTTCTTAGCAAACTGGGTTGAAATCAAGGGTCTTAATCTGCAAAGAAAGAAAGAAAAAATGCTGAACACCAGAAAAGTTGCACAAGAGTTTGACACAGAGTATTCATTCTCCAAACAGTGAAAGCACTTTGCCAGTGTTATGTTGTGCAATTACTTCTTTAATGATTAAAGATAAAGAGCAGAGAGCCACAAATGCCACAATAATTAACACACACATTCCCTTGGAAGCGTCTGTCCCAGATCAAGGTAATAATAAAAGATGCCAGCACAGTAGCAAAACCTCATCTCAAACTGCAGCCCCAGCTTCTCCCCAAGGTCTTTGAAATAGCTGTGTTTTGTCACATTTTACAAAAAACAAAAGAAAACTGATTTTTGGAAGAATGCAGACATGGCAAGACTGGGCCATGCTCTGATTACCCAGCACTGGTCTGCAACGGCTTCTCTGCATCTGATGATGCATAGAGGATACCAGTAAGATTATGCCATAATCATCACAGACAAGAATTTAACATCCAGCTACAGAAATCATCAAAAAAACCCCCAGGGATCCTGAATACCTTGAATGAGAAATGACAGAAATTGAACATAAACATTTTTAAAAATTCTGCATCAGATGTGAAAGAGACCTGCATATTTGGGGGAGAAAAGCTGGATCAGTATAACTTTACAGCTAAGTGTTAAATATTATTACTTCTGAAAAACATTTCATAGTCTGTTGTTTCCTTACTGCCAAGAAGGCTGTTCTCAATCCATCATTTAGTGTTACTTTCTGGTCTCTCCTGTTCATCTAGATGTATCTAGTCACGAAGAGGATGACTTGCTTTCTACAGAAACACTGCTCAGACAGCTCCTCAAGCACGTCTTTTAACGAAGTCTAGGCAAACAACTTAATGAATACCAATTTATGCCTCCAGAGATACAGTCTTTTATGATAAGCAGTATTTTACTCTCATTTTTCTGTTAGTCATTCCTCCTTGTAAACACACAGAAACTCGTTGTTTTCCTACTTATTTATTTATTTCAAATATCAGCAAGAGGAAACAAAACCCCAGAGAATGAGCAGGGGAGACTCAGATCATTATCTCTGATGGTGGAGACAATATTAAAATACAAAGTATTAGCTAAGCTCTAGAAAGGTTCAAAAACTGGTCATCTCTGAAATGCTTTGCAGGACCCAAAAGGCATTTCAGCAACTCAGGTAATTGAAGGTGCCTCCTCCCAGCAGATCAAAACAAAAATAAGCTAAGGGAATGTTTCAGGAGCAGTGCCACTGAAGAATCCAGAACACATTATTCTGCTACAGATACTTCTTTTCATATTATATAATTACAAAAAATTTCAAGAAAGATATTCACTTGACCTACATAAATATCTATTACTTACAAATCCTGGTCGACTTCTGGGCTCAGAGAGATTATATTTGAAGACATGGACACACTCCTCCCTGTGTGCTCAGCCTTCTCTTTCCATTATCTAACCCCAACTGTAGAGTTTCCACCTTTAAATGCTGTCAAGTCCAACCTGCTGCAAGGAGCAGGGATACCTTCAACCTGAGCAGGTTGCTCAGAGCCTGTCCAGCCTGACCCTGAATGTTTCCAGGGTCAGGGAATCCACCACCTCTCCAGGCCTGTGCCATTGCCTCACCACCTTCATAGCAAAAAAATTTCTTCCTTAATTCCTGAGATGTGAGAGTACCTATCTACTTTCAATCACTGTTTTCCAAAAAATCACCCTGTTTAGATGGTTATAAACATATGGATGCAGCAAAGCCAAAAGGCTGCATAGCTGAAGGATTCTAATTACCAAACAGGTTGTGTTTCAACGACATGACTGAAAAACACCCAACATTGGTAAGAAATTGAAGACTTTTATTTTAAATTCACAGTCATGATTATTGCAATTAACATTGTACCAAAGATAGCACCTTTTCCCTCCTGCTACCCAAAGACATCAGACCTCCCTGGAGCACCCTGAAAATATTTCCTCCCCCCAATTAAAATCAAGCTGTTGAGTAAGACTCACAAGGTAATCAGAAACTGCTGACATTTCTTTTAGAGCAAATTATACATGTGCTCACACAGTGAAGAAAACAATCACAGCTACAGGAAGCAGAGTAAACATTCCAGTTTCATTTTAATTAAAATGGTCCCCTAATGAAAATAAAAAGATTCACGTTTATGAAAAGCCTATTTGCAAAAACTTTAGTGCTATATCCAAGAGCCCTTCCATACCATTTCTCAGCAGCAAGGGACTCACACCCAAACTGAAATTAAAGCTGTATTTCTGTTCCACGAGAGCCACTCACAACGTGCACATCTTCACTTCCTTACTACAAATACAGCACTGCCATCTGATCTGGCAATACAGTTTCTCTCTCAGCATAGTATAAAATGCATCCAAAAGCAGTGGGGTGGATCTTGCTCCTGCCATGGATGGTCAGCACCTGCTGCAGGCCAGATCCAAGGTGGATCTCCTCACCTGGGTGGAACGGCTCGGCCCACTGCCCCTCCATACTACCTGCTTCCTAAAACAGTAGGCACAACTCTGGAAAAAGGTAAAACCATCACAACAACTTATTTTCCCACTGAAATAATGGCTCTGATTCAAACTACAGCTATAAAAGTTATAAATATATAACGCCCTTGGCTCTCCTTATGCCTAGGGAGAACCCTACTATTACTGTACAAAACCATTTAAGAAGGTTTTATACTTGGGGTGCTGTTTTGTTTCTTAAATGCCCCAATGTCCTGACCTCCTTAAACCAGAGCAGCTGCTGCCACACCAGCCATATGGAGCAATAAATTACTGGCTGCCATGGCTACAGATACAGGCTCCTTCTGCTGTCTGGCTGCACCTCAGAGGGCGGAAGAAAGTGTCTTCATGGAAAAGCACGCCCGCTTTTGAGGCTGGGACAGGTCTGAGTATTAATGATCAAAAAGCACCTTGAAAAAATAAGTAATTGAAGTATCTTGTCCAGCTTTCACTGGGCATGACACAACCTCATCTGTAGAAATCTACCAAGGGACACACATGCACAGAAGAAAGAGCCTGTCCATCAAAGTCCAGACTGAATTAGAGGTTCACAAGCTCAATAAATAATAACAGCCTACATTAAGGTGCAATTCCATATATACTGAAGCAACAACAGCATCCATTTAAAATGTAATGTTGTGACTGGGAAATAATGGGGCTCCTGGTCTTCCACAGTGTGTCAGTTGTCGTTCACTATTTATGATGACTTCTAGTTTGGGGCATTCTCCTTTTGAACTTTGCAAATTAACACAGCACCTTGTGGGAGGGAAAAACAGAACAAGTAACTTTCTGAACAGCAATGCGATCCGTAAAAGGGGATAAAAAAGATTTCACACAGCCCCAAGTGTGTTACATCCACACTTCAAACTACTTCAAAAATTATGCAGATATACTAATGCTCATGTCAGCCAATACACATAACACTGGAAGCAGATTATCTTGACATGTTTGTGACAAAAACTAATGGCATGGTACAAGGCATCAGAGGCTGCTCCCTGCCGAATCCGCTCCGCTCTCAGCTGAGATGTGCATGATAACGTCTGGGTTTGTCCTCCAGCTTTACAATTTAAAAGAAGATTCAATATAATAGCTCCTGACAGAGCTGGAGATCACACAGACTGAACTTTCAGAGTGTTTTTCTCTGCACAACAAGCTGGCTGTGACAAACAACAGTTTTTATTTTGTTTATTATTTAATAACAAAAGATTACACAGCATAGTACATAAAAGAGAAAGAGCAGTGAGAGGTAATAAACCCACCTCACTTGCATCAGACTGCTCATCCACCAAAAAGTTTGACAATACCATAACAATCTCCTCAGTGCAATCCTACAAGTAATTTGAAAACTCACCCAAAGCTCTTTTCTTACTGAATTTTAATTTAATCCACCCATGTAGGAACATCTTATTGCTGCTTACCACCCATACTAATTTTATACACGGATGGTCCCAGAATATGCAATAGGAAGCAGAGATCGAACAGAGCCCACAGCCACAAGCCTGCAGTGTAATTATACAGGTCATCCAAGACAACTGCCCATGAATCCTATATATCCATGCACAGGCCTTTCATGTGCAGGGACAGAAAAACTATTGAGAAATGACTCAACAAGAGACAGGTCAGGTTCCTCATGCTGGCTGAGATCCTCCTCCCACCTGAGGCCAGATGGTTTTGCCTCAGGAGGTCAGTTTACTAGACATCTGTGTGAGAAGGAAATTAATATAAATGTTTATACAGGCTAAGAGTGCCCTTTAATTAGGTACCATCAATGTTATCCTTACCAGAAAGCTGGGAATTACCTCTCTGCAAGGATTTAAATCTCTTCTTGGAAACACAACAGCATCAGGAGACACGGCCGCTGTCCTGCCATTGGGTCAGGACAGAGGGGTGACCCTCCCATACGTGGATGACTGCTGTTTTCCAGAGGGCAAAACAAAGGCTGCAATGACAACCATACCCCTGGAGCACTTCAGGGTTTGCACATCCAGCTGTGGATCCTACCATCTCCTACATCTGCTACTGCCTGAGAGCCAGATGCTCACAGGAGCCATTCCCTCCGCTCCAGAGGAAGCAGAGGCACACAGCCAAGGCCAGGGTTGGCCGTGACACCCATGGACAGCAGCATGATGCCCTGAAGACAGGGGCTGGGGGTCAGGGTGCACTGCACCACCTCAGAAGTTCAGATAGAGCCACAGAACATCATCATGCTCTGCAGAATGACAAAGCACCTGTGATGCTCGCACCTTGAAACCGTGTGTGCCTGAACGTGAGGTAGGCAGGTGGTTTTGGCTTTCTCAAGACCAGGCTCTTCACCCTATCCAGATCACCATCACTGTGAAAGCCCCAAGGTGTTTCCCTGAATCACTCCCACACATGCCAGGGCTGCAGAGACCCTAACTAATGGCAGAAAGACTCCAACTACAAGCATGTCCAAACTGCAATGAGCTCAGCTCCCACACAGCAAGGTTCCTTTGGAGGTGGCTCAGTGCTGTAAGCTGCACAGAT